GACCACACCATACTGATACCCCATTAGAAAAGAAAAATGTATAATTATAGCTGAAAGATTAACCAATGACTCTGGTTTCTCTTCATATCCAGGTAACAAAATGAATAATATAACAGTAGTCTACACCCCATGGTCAAACCTTAAGAAGACGGCAGACATGGATATTGGACAAATTGGTTTCCATAGTGATAAAGCTGTGAGTCTGGTTTTGTACTAAGTTGGAAGTAGTAATGAGGTTAAAACTATTGATTTATTTTTGTATTGTATCTGAAAAAAAACACATCAATTATGAGTGATTGATTCTTTAAATGAATTCATTGATTGTAAATTCCATAGTCAAAATCATGACAGAATTCCATTTCGATCGACAAGAGAAATCCACATCGTACTCAGTCCCTGCTAGGAAAATACTATTGAAAATAGTTGATCCATAATGTGDTCAACTCAGCTGGCCCACAGTGGGACTGTTTTGTTCATATAAAACATGTTTGGTTTTTCAGGTAAAAACAGTGAAAGTTGAAAAAAGAAGGAATGAAATAATAAATCGACTCAACAAAACAAAAAAAGAATTGTTTCCAGACTTCAGAGAAGAAAGAGAAGAAAGGGACAGACAAGACCGGGAAGAAGCTAAAAAACATATGCGTGAACAGGTAAGAAGTAAAAAATTTTAAAACGTTATAATTTTGTATCGAGCATAGAGGAGGGAGCTATATTGCTTGGCCTCCTGACTAAAGCACTTAATGCCAGATTGAATTAGAATTTAAAAGGTGATTTTTGCTGTGGGAGGAATACCAGAGAACCCAGAGAAAATCCTTGAAGCACAGGAGAGAACCAACAAGCAACTCTACTCACATATAACACCAAGCCCAGGAATCAAACCMAGGTCACACTGGTGAGAGGTGGTGTGTCATTAGAAATGCTTCCCTAGATACTGGCTAAACAATAGAGGTTTTGCACCATCACGTACCGGCACCCATAATACAGCTTGGACTGCCTGTGGTTAGATGGCAGAACAATAAAATTTCTTTACTCTCGGGAATTGATTTCTTTCTCAYGTAAAATGATTGTACTATTCCTRCCATCTAACATGGCTGCCATCACGTGATGGTGCAAAACCTCTATTCACATCAAAAGAATTTCTCATAAAAGTTGCAAAATTAATGAGATATGTTTTATGTTGTTTTTACCAATAGAAAAATAGAGAGAAGGAAGAAGAGAAAAGAAGGAAAGAAGAAGCAGCTTTAAGGTTTGATTGMTTAGTTCTTTCCATAATACATGTTTGTCAGAAGCAAGTCAGTGTTATGCTCATACTATRTATGGTTCTCTTTACAGGGATTACTCTACACTTTTAACTGAAGATAAAATGCGTTCAAATCGAGTAAGTGAATTTTGGAATCTAGGCACGCAATGCATGGTTTGTCAAAGCAAAAATTTCCAATTTTTTTCTAACATATCTTGTCAAAGTGAAATATTTTCCACTAACAACAGTGAAAACACTATCCTAAAAGATACTTAGCAAATCTTTCCACGGATAAGTTTGACTTTTTTTTATTTTTGAGGACTGTTGTTGTTGTTCATGGAACTGAAAAACCTGGAACTGGGAAATATTGAGCAGCTTTTTTAAGAAAATGTTCACTGATTGGCTAATTCATTCTAGCTGAGAGAAGCAAAATCACTTGAATGTCTTGGTTCTCTAAATATTTCTTTGTGTTGCTCCTCATTTAATGGCTTTTCTTCTTGATGTCATGTCATGTCATGTGTGAGTATATTACATCAAAGAAAGGGTCCCAAACTTCCTTATGAAAGGCAGAGAAGCCATAAAGAAGTTGAACCCCCAGATAAAAAGATGAGTGAAACAGCATTATTGATTAACATGGAGTTAGCTATTTTTAGTCTTTCAGCTAAAAATCCTAGGTAAAGTGCATACCATATATATTCATAAGAAAGTGAATGAACAAAATGGTACAAATTAGTGCAAAGTTTTGTAGGTCTCAGTATACTGAGGTCTACTGAATTTACTAGTTTGTGCAATTTCTTACAAAGATTTTCACGGATATATGGTGTTCCCACTAGTTCATCTGGTTGTGCAGTTGTCTTACAAAGAAGTGATGTTAGCTCTCTTCCATCTCTWAATACTTCCTACTTTCGTCCTATCTTAATCACTTAACACCTGCCTTCAACCTACGGACAACGGTTTTAATGCAATGGTAATACCTGCAGTTGTTTTGTAATTTAACAGTCCTTGTTTTTTTTTAGGAATGTATTTCAGATGAAGATGACTTCATGTAAGTGGAGCATGGTCAGGTCAGTGTTGACCAATATCTAACCCTCTGCAGACAATAAAATTTCATCAAACACTTCAGGCTCGCCAAATATATAGCAAGAACACATTTTACGATAATGTCATGGCAACAATTAAACCAATTTATTGGGGAAACTTTTGGATGTTCAGTGGCATTCATGCAAGTTTATTTTTAATTCTAGTTATAAAAATAATGTTTTCAGTCTTCTATTATCCAAATAACTGCTAGGTGTTATCGATGATGAAAAAGGGGAAACTAYATTCAGGTTGAGCTTTTTAAAGATAAATAGATTTAACCAGTATGTCTGTATTCTCTGCCATAGCTTCCTACAGTTCATCCTAATCTTTTTTGCTGTTACTGTGCATCGATATTCACATGTTAACARACACCTTGGCGTTAGCATTTTTTCATGTCAATTTTGATCTTTTGCTGAGTTGAGTGTAAATTGGCAGAAACGAGACTCCGGAGAATAGAAAARAACTATGCTCTCTTGAAAAGAATTATTACGATCATTCCMAAGGGAGTGAAATAACAAAAGACATCGGCGGCCATGYTGGATGATATAACAAAAGAATTCCTTGAAAATTCTTTTAGGCTCCGTGTGATGGAAACCCAGCAATTTTCTTCAGCGTCTCTTATTTCCAAGAAACCAAYCAAACCGTCTCTTTGCAGACGGCAGGAAATGAATGAGAACTAAGGAATGAAATTTAATGTCTAAAAAAAAATCTTTATTTCAAAAGTGGAAATGCCACACSAACCATTCGAAATATCTTAGCACAAAGCAGACAGAATGTGCTGATGAAAATGAATGATAACTAACTAAATGACTAACTAAAATCAACTAAAAACAACTAAATGATTTCGCTATTACACTATAAAATAYGTAATGACAGGTAYACACTTATTTCAATAAAGTTAGTCACCTGAAAAGCTACAAAGCTGAGACCGACAAGGATTATGGATAGATACATTTTACATGTTTTAACCGCTTGATAACTGTTGGTGGACTTGAGATCTTCTACCAGTTACAAGTTCACCTCCTCTGAGCATCCTCAACTKCTGCAGTTTGTGTCGMAACCTTTACTTGTTGAATATGTAACATTTCCMATGATTCTCAGCGATCACAGCTTTCTAGGTTTTTGGTGACTAACTTTATTGAAATAAGTATATACAAAAATATAAAAAGATAAAAAAACGGATCTAGATTTTTTGATCACCGAGACTCATGACGAACAGACCTCTTCATCTCGGGCGTATTATTTACCCATTTCACACTTCGCGTCATTCCCTTGAGAATAAGATTCTTTATTTAAATGGCATTCATATCCATGCGTCTTCTCATGCGCAACCGTTAGACAAAGAAATGTTACTCCAGGAAATGACACGTTGTCTAGTGAAATGGGAAAAAACATTAAACCCAAGGTAAAAGGTCTATTCAAGCAGTTTTTATGATCCCTTTAAAGGTAACGGCACGGAACTGACGGCTTCCTTGGAACCAACCACAGAACGCGAGGTAGCCTGCGTAGCGGCCCAAATTGGGGGGAGGGGTGGGGGGACTGTGTCCCCTCCTCCACAGGTCCCCCACCCCTCCCCCAATTTCCCAATTTGGGCCGCTACGTAGGCTAAACGCGAGGTCACTGCTAGGCCAATAAAGAACAAGCCCGAACAAGGCACGGTCACGGCTCGTCTACACGTGAGATTTTTTGGGAATTTGTTCTAAGCAGTTATTTCTCATCTCACGGAAAGATATCGTAGATTTCTGTACGGTTGTTAATGAATTCAAAATAACGAGGACAAATAGCTTTTGCAAATTTCGAGGGGGGTTCTATCCTTGAACAAGCAAACACCTTTCATTTAATTTTACCCGTAAAACAAGATGATGTCTAACAACAAAAGAAAACTATATCAAGAATGCGAATCCAGGAATTTACAGGGGAAACGGTCATTAGTCTTGGAAAAACCGCTGAAAATTCCGCTATAGTTGTTATCTAAATTTTGGGGACTTCGACGTCTTTGAACCGCTTCTCCTCGATCCCTGGTTCCSCTCCTGATAGCAGTATAGTGCCTTTGTAATAAGACTATCTATTTAACCTGCAAAATTTTTTTAAATATTCTAAATAACAAGGAATATTTAGACATAGTGRTCATGCACTCTACTTGGTGGAAACTTTTTCATATTTGCCTTAAAACTACTGCTAGTTGCTTGGTCTGTGTTTTGTTTCRACGATAATATGTATTGACATGCAGTATCATCAAGCATTCCCTTRACGCATTTGATATACCGGTCGATATGACTGTTTAAAAACTCTAAAGGAGCCGAGCCCTGCTTGAGGACCTGGTAATGAAAGTCTTTTAAACTGAACTTAGTTCCCAGCTCTTTCTCGGCCTTTTTTCTCATCTTGATTAGTTCCAGTCTTCCCAGCATGTACGCCGTGGCTTGGCCGGGGTCGCTCTGGTACCGGGTCACTTCTTTGACTGCAAAGTCGGAAGT